ATGCACAGGATCACATCTTTCAGTTCTTGCTTGAAGGCCAGAGAGTAAGTCTGGCGTTTATCTTCAGAGGGAGCAACTTCCTGGGTGACATAGACTCCGCTGTCATCCTGGAGAGGGTCTCTAAAGGCTCGCGTCTGGCCCTTGGGGTCTTGGAGCTCATCAGTTGGCTGCTCACTGCCAACGACGGGCTGGCGGTCATCGATGTGGAGCGGCAGCAGTGACTCTGGCAGCGATGGAAAGATAGCGCAGGGGATCCCGGACAGGCATGCAGTCGCCACGCACTCCTGATGCTTCAAAGAGGCAACATCGAGTAGAAGACTCTTGTTCTCGTGGTCAGCCTTCTCAACCACAATCCTGGAGTCTGACAAACCGCTGTCTTCAGTGGGCAGAGCCTCGGGAGGCAGGTCAGGGTCCCGGGGGAGGGGACTTCCGCTGAACTGCTCTTGTGCAGCCCCTTCCTCACAGCATCCCTCAATCAGAGAGTGGAAGGAGGGGTGCTGGGTCAACGTGGGCGGCATAGCAAACTCATCCATAAGGAAGGAGATTTCTAGTTGGGAATGGTAGGCTACGCAGATCATAAATATGAGGATCTCCTTAACTCGGGCCAGCTCGTAGTCACAGCCCCCTCTCAGTTTGATAGTGCAGCCGAGGTGCTGTGGGCAGCCTTCGAAAAACATCAGCGTTTTGGTGTGTTCTGCAAATAAGCAAACAAAAAGTAAAGACCGCTGGGGTGGCAACACAGAAGTCCAGCCGGCCTTAGTTTACCCAGCTAACGCCCAGAAGGGAAAAGGCCTGTGTGTGATTAGTACCACAGGTGTCTGGGATCATTTCATACTGTTAGCAGGGATGTTCTTCTCACTGAGCACTGTGGTGCTAGAGTTAACTCACTGTGAAGTCTGCAGAGTCACTTACCACTAGGCAGCTGGAACATTTGCATATAAAATTTGTGACAAGTGCCCAGGTGTGGTTTTGTAAGCAGCTGGTCCATCGACATCACCAAATCGCCTTGGGTCATCCGGCTGATCCGATCTAACACTTGCTGCAGCACAGAGAAACATTGTGTTATAAAGCTAGACAGAATGAAATTCTTGGTACATTTTACCTGGACAAATAATGGAAGTTATTTCCAATAAATCCCCACACTAAAGTTTCCTGATTTGAACAATGACATAAAAATGCAGCTTAGATCTACACTTAGCTGCTTATTAATCAACGTGTCCACTAAGTAAACCATGCACCTATTAATAACACCGCCCGAAGGCACTGAATCATCACAAAATGGCACAAGTACTGTGTAAGGGGTGGCAAGGGGGACTAAAAAAAATCTCTTTTAGAATTGGCTTCCTTCTTTGAGATCTTTCAATGCCCTTGGATGGTAATTTTTTGCAAGGGAGAGAAAATTTTCTGCTAGTGCAATTCCCCAGACGGAATGAAAGATCAACAAATACAGCTAACTAGCTAATTGTATTATATATTTATGGTGGCCTAGTGGGTAATGCACTGGGCTGCTAACTGCAAGGTCAGTAGTTCAAAACTAGCAGCCACATGGCAGAAGAAAGATAAGGTCTCCCGCTCCCGTTAAGAGTCATCGTCTTGGACACGCACAGGACTTCAGAGTCCTAAGGGAGAAAGATGAGGCTTTCTACTCCCACAAAGAGTTGGTCTTGGAAACCCCAAGGGCAGTTCTGACCTGTCCTAAAGGGGCGCTGTGAACTGGAGTCCACCTGTAGCAGTGACTTTTGATGACATTTTGGTCTTGGAGGCCTGTTTAATGAGTGGCATCTAATCAATCCTACGTCTAGCCTGTGCCACTCCAGTCTTAAATGACAAAATAGCTGTCACTGTCTTGTTTTCTGTCCCACTTACAATATGGCACCAGCAGCGCAACAAAATAAATCAAAGATCCTTGTATCTCTGACATATGCGAACAAATGCAAACGCTGTGGGCAGCTTTTGGAAACTGGCATGAAATGTAGAAGTAGCAGCACTCACTGATTTTACATTAATGACCAAAGTAATGCCGTGCTCCAGCAGCATGTCCTGGGCAATCCGAGACACCGTTTTCTCAACTAGCACCAACGTGGGTCGAACATCCACTATTCGCTGAACATAATTCTTCAAGAATTCCCTTTCCTAAGTAAAATCAATCAGAAATGTCATATCCGGGTCAATTCAAGATCAAATCACTAAATTATCAGGAGAGTTTAACCATTAATATCAACCTCAGCCTAAATATGCATCATCCAGTAGTGAGTTAGTTAATTGTGCCAGCCTGGCCGATAATCACATGTGGGGCTAATTGAAAGGCGGAGGGATAAATGGGTGGTGAAGCCTCGCCTTTC